TTATACTCTTACAGCAGTGTGTTGTAGCAAGCTTGCCACAGACATTTTTAAATTGTGCTCAATATTGAAGCGTGGTCTGTGCTACACGCTGTGGGTCTAGATACGGCCGAGGCGGAGAGGAAGTGGGGGCGAGTTTAGTCCGACGACGGAGGGACATGAGGGCCAAAAAGAGCGGAGATCCAGGTGGAAAAAGGGTCCCAGCGTTCTCGCGCAGCTCGCTCTTCTAGTGGGTCAAACTTCACGAGTTGTTTTACGCAATTTCGGTCATGAAAACAAAACAAGCCGACCTCTGGAGCCGAGGTTTTGAATTGCACTGATTTTGTGCAGTATTTTTGCGGTATTTTTTGTTGTCTAGCCTGTAAGGTGTAAAAAAAAACAAAAAAAAAACAATTAATCGAATCGTATCGTGGTGTATTCTTGAGTATTGAAAATAATCGAATTGTTGGGTGATGGAATCGATACTGAATCGAATCGCCATGATGGATATGATTTACATCCCTACTAGAGTCCTAAGCTGCTAAATTACATTGCTTATGCTTTTGATCCCAATCTGTCATGGTTCAGTGGATGTATTTGAGGACCGGAATGCAGAGATGATGAGGCAGAGGTGAGTTTTGTAGATTCAGTAAAAGACTGAGGCAGAAACCCAATATACTGAAAACCAAAAACTCAGAAGATGCCAGGCAGAAACGCACACAGGGAGCCAAGTAACAACAAAACAAAAAGAAACCAGCAAAAAAGAACTGCACAGGAAGAGTGTGTAGCGGAGACAGAAAAAAGACTGGGGTAATCGGCTCATATGGAGCAGGTGTGGATGGAAGTGACTGGAAGGGAGCTAGAGGAAAGGAGACAGGCAGAAGGAGACAACAGAGTAACTGGAGATGGTTAGAAAACGATTACAAAGAAACTAAAACTAAACCAAAACAGAGGACAGAATCCTGACTTAGTCACCTTGGAAACAGGGACTCACGATAAGAAATAGACCATTACTTTGGAGATTAGGATCCGCTATGGTGGCCTATGACCGAGGCCACCGCTGCTGTGCTGCATAAACATCATTCATCGTTCATCCTGATGGCTCCTGTTTGAGTTATAAAAAAGTGTGTTTAATAAAAGACTTGAATAGGGATAAAGTTAGAGCGCTAATCTCTAGTGGTGGACCTTTGTTTTTGAGTTGGGGGCATAATTGATCATTTAAAGGAGAAGTTCGGTTTTTTACACTTTAAGCCCATTTTCTGTAGTGTCCAGGATGAAATCGAATGATCGACACCAAAAGTTTGAC